ATCCTGGCACTCCAGGATCACGCCCTGTGCCGAAGGCAGATGTGCACAACCGCTGAGCCACCCAGGCGTCCCCCTTCCCCCTTATTTTACACGTGAGGAAACTGAGGCCCTGGGAAATCCAACAGCTTGTCCGAGACACATGGCCTATAACCTGGCTTGGAGTCCGTTCTCTTTCTACCCTGCAGTTTGTGCAGAACCTGGCTGTAGGGTTTCTGGGCGAGGTGGTCTGGCTCCTTCAGCATTTCTTAACTTTGGTTTTCTTTGTCTTGTGTAAAACACGTTGGCCTCTTAACCTCCTGACACGGTTGCTCCTTGTGTCCTGTGTTTTCTTCTCCTCGTGCGTGTTCCTGGGGACACGGGGATGAAGGGACTGTCCTTGTTTGTCTTCCTGAAGGTGGGGTTCGTCCCATTTGTCTCCATCCCCAAGACGGAGAAGGAAATTGCCAGTTGCCAACCTCCTCACAGTCACAGATAGACGGAATAGGACACACACTCCAGGTGCCTTCTAATAGGTCCAAGTGTCCTTGAAAGAACAGCCCTGGGCACGTCTTTTCCCTAAGCAGCGTTTTCCTGCTGCTTTTTCTTTTGGAAAAAACAAAGATTCAGTAGGAAAACCCAAGGGGAGCTGAAGGGATGCACATAGCCTTGAAAACACTTGTTTCACTTTGAAATGCATCATCTGACCCACCCTGAATGCCCCCAAAAGCCCTTGGTCAACAGCCAGGATTCCATCCCAGGATGGTAATTTAAGCAAACTGCCTCCTCAGCTGCTCTGGCTTCTTGGTTCTCTCCCTCCTTCCTTCTCTGAGCTTCCCTTGGGTCAAAGAGGTTGGCCTCCCAGATGAAGGAGGCCCATTCCGGGACTCTGGGCATGTGAACAGATGCATGTGCTTCTAAGAACTCCCGGGAAACCCAAGGAAAGGGAGACTAGCCAAGGTTCCAAGAGTAAGAAATCCTGTCTTGTAAAAATATGCCCGTGCAGTAGGAGGGAGCCAGCCGCGGGTTTACGGGAGACCTGGATCTTCTCCTTCCCCCATTCGTTTCAGTTTCCACCCACTCCAGGCAGCCTCGGCTCAGTGTCCTTTGCACCTCGGGTTTTGATGGACTGTCCGATACTGTAACCCTAAAGTCAGTTATTCGGAAGAAGTCTGCGTCAACTTTTGAAGCTCTGGTATTTTTCTCTCATTCGTTGTTAAATTCTGGGGAATTAAAAGAAATAGCTGAATTCTCAAAATAAGTACTGTTTATGCCTGCAGGGTCTGGCCATGGGAAGCTTGCTCTCTTTGAGGAATTTTATTAGATGTTCACTGGTCAACTTGAACCCTTTTTCTCTTCCTCTGAGCCTTGCTCTGGGTTGTCCAGGCATCTAGAATGGAAGCCACTTAGACTTGCCCCTGGCCCGTCACCTTGTGTGTCTGAGCCCACAAAGCACCCAGCCCCTAAAACCCCAAAACCTTCCAGGGAAGGAATGAGTGTCAGGCAGAGTAGAGGATCAGGCCCCTTGTCTCTCTTTCCTTGATTTTAAGGTGGGCAGGACCCCTCTTCTATGCCCTGACTCTTGCTCCGAGACCCTCCCTGTGTTCCTTTTCTCCGCTCCTATTCTGTCTAGGTTCTTCCTTGTCAAAGTCTTGCCTCAGCTTTCCGCCCTAGTAGAGAGCTTTAACACCAGGCCACACAAAGCTTCTTACCTTGAACGAGATCACACAACTTTTAATTAGAGGATGACTCACATCCAGTCTTCCTGAGCCGAGACCTTGTTACTTAGCATTAGATTATTCCATTGCATTTTGTTGTTCGGCACCTCATATTAGGTCACAAACTGCACAGTTGGGTGTCTTTTGAATAATGGGCCTGGACATTGAGTCAGAGTCCAACCCAAAGGCAAGATTTTTCGGAGGCTACATTTTGCACATGGAGATGGCCATGCTCGCTGGGTCGCGTTACCCAAGGGCTCCCGCGAGGCAGCAGCGCCTGTCCCCACGTGGGGGAAACCTCAGTCTGCAGCTTCTGCCTCTGTTCTTATTGAGCTCAAAGCCTCAAAAGAGGCAACCCCTGGAAAGAGCAAGGTGAGCTTAAAAGCAGCCAGAGCCTGGTGGAGTCGAAGGTGGAGCTGCCAGATTGGTAGGTTGGTAGGTGTCATGGGCTGGTGCGCACAAACAACCGACATTCCAGGAATCCAACAGAGAAAGTGTGTGTGTGTGTGTGTGTGTGTGTGTGTGTGTGTGTGTGTGTGTAGCTCATGGGGGGCTGCTTTTCTACAGTGTGTGTGTGGCAATTCCAAGCAGAGTTATAGCTTGGAGAATCGGGTCTGAAGTACACGTGGATGGGGTGTCTGGCTTAGTAGGTAGAGCATGTGACTCCTGCTCTCAGGATCATGAGTCTGAGCCCCGCGTTGGGCATAGAGATTACTTAATTAGAAAAAAAAATAAAAAAAATAAAAAAAATAAAAAGAAAAGAAAAGGTACATGTGAAGAAGAGGATCTTCCCCCTTGTTCGTTGGAGGTGCCCTCCTAGCACATTGCTTTGGTTTATAGGTCACACTCACTGCGTGGCAAGGTCTGGCTGATGGTGTAGATGTGGAATAAGCACTGGCCTTAATGGAGCCTGTCCCACATGCCCTCCTTGCCAGAGTCCGTGCTCACCCACTGCCGTCCAGGCATGGTCCTCAGCTCTGCCTGCAGGAGGCGGTGAACAATGGGCACGCCTCAGAGCTCTCCGTCCTCCTTGCATCCCCATAAAGATTCACCATCAGATGAGGAGAGACTCAGAGGCGCTGCTCGGTCTCACATTCCCTGATGGCTTCCAGGAAGCTTTGCACTTGACTGTGCGGTGGGAAGAGGCTGTTTGGGGTTGGGGAGGTAGGAGGAGTGCATCAGGGTGGCATTGCTGGTTGGCTGATGAGCGCTAGGGAAACCCGGGTGTGCCTCCTTTCTACACATCGTGAACCTGGACAAAGGTTACAGAAAACAGGGTGGGGGAGTGAACAGATGATTGACACAGGAGGTGAGCAGAGGTGCACAGTACCGTGTGTGCTCAGTAGGCTAGCTTCTAACCCGAGAGAGGATGGCCACGCGGGGTGCAGCTTCAGAATTTAGCCCTTGAGATTTGAATCACGCTGAAGGGCCTGTGCCTACTCACTGGGAAGTGTTTATTGAGATCTTTAGGAACCTTTGTATGATGAGACATCATCCCCTTAGCTCCTGGGTTTGCCTAAAGCAGGCTCTTTACTTGGAGACATTGTACTTCTGAACCTCAGCAAAAGCCCTCTGCAAGCAGGCATGGGAAAGGGCTGGCGCGACCTCGAAGCAGCCGTGTGGGGATGGCCGTCCCTCGCGGGCCGTGGAGATCAGGGGCTGCATTTCAGTGCAGCACTGCGGTGGCCACCTGGCCGGGTCGGCAGGTCCCAGTGTGCTGTCCCGCCGGCGACGTGGACACAGTAGCTCCTGTGCTCCCCGGGCCCAGCTCACCGTGTGCACCTGTACAGTCCGGGACTGCTAAGAGTTCATTTGCCTTATTCCGTGTGCTCTACGACCACCTGCATATTAAGGGGGGGGGCAGTCAGTACCCCCAAAGACGTGAGGCAAGAGCGGAGAGAGCTGAACAATAGGACGGAGTTTAGGAAAAAGAAAAAATTCTTGTTACTGGGATTCAAGGAAGAATTCTTCCCTGAGTTCTGACCTAGAAGGACCCTTTGAACTTCAGAGATAAAAACAGCATCTTTTCTGATCTCAGTTAAAAAAAAAAATCTCTTATTGCGTCGGAGTGGACTGTAAATCTCTATCTGAAGTAGTCACTCTGGATTGGGAGATGAGAAACAGGTGTCAGCTCTGCATCACTTGGACCAAACAGGATGAAGGGGGAAAAAAATCAGAAAGGTTGGGTCCCCAAAGAGGTGCTGCACATGTCCACCAAGTTTTAAAAATTAACAGTAGTCGCGTAATGGGAATACAGGTGTCTTTGTCCTAAATACTTGTCCCATTTTTCTAGGCATTACTTTAGAAGTTGGGGGTGAGGGTATAAAAATAACTTTCATATGTCTGTTTTACCCTTGCCCCCAAAAAGATACAGGATGCTAACAAAAATATATGTATATAAATAAAGAGATAAACAAGCAAAGGAGACCACGGGAATATAAGGTTGAGAAGCAAGAACTAGGAGTGCCTTAGTATTTGCCAGAAATAGGACCCCCGGATACTAGGAAAACCTTTTCATTGACTGGGGGGAGAAAAGGAACTGTGATCCTGAGAAGCCAAGGGAGGAAGGGGTTCTGAGGGTTCCCGGTTATAAGGGTGGTGGCCACAGTCCATCCCAGTATCTGATCACCTTCCACAGACACTGTCCTTGAGCCTCCAGTCTGAACCCATCACCTCTAGCGGGAGAGCAGATCTGCACTTAACCACCAACAGGCAGGGACCGTCATTCCCATGCGATCCATCCTCTCTCTCTCGCTCTCTTTTTCCAGCTTACAGTGACCCCCAAGGCTTGCCTTCAACCCAAAGATTACCAAATTTCTTCCTGGAAAGCCAATGCCCACAATACCCTTGAGATACCCTTATTTCTGAGACTGGGATTAGCTCCACACAGGAACATTTGGGTTTGATTTTTGCCTCCCCTGCACTCACCAGAGTACCATGCACTCAGGGCTGCAGATGGGGTAACCGTTCCTGATCAAACTGGGACGGCACCCGCAGGAGGCCCAGTGTAGCGAGCCCTCTCCCCGCAAAGCCCGGTGACTGCTCCCACATTTGAGAAAACAAACCCAACTTTCCAGGGTTGGGTGGCTGGCTTTCCCTTTCCCTGCCCTTTGAGCCAGGCACATCATGTTTAGACAATCTGGCCCTTTAGGGGTCCTTCTGCCTCCCACAGCCAAGATAAACTTCATATTTCGGGAAGTCCAGCAAGACACCACAAGTGTGGGTAGACGGCGTGTTAGGGTTTGCTATGTGGGCTTGGTTATTGTTTTTGTTTTAATTAACCCTTGGTTACCTCCCTCTACACAGACAGCTACAGACAGTTCTTCTAATTCCTCCCAGAAGAGGGAACAGCCTACTCGGACCATCTCCTCTCCCACATCCTGTGAGCACCGGAGGATTTATACCCTGGGCCACCTGCACGACTCCTACCCCACGGACCACTATCACCTCGAACAGGTGCGTGGCAGTCTGGCTCCTGTGAGGGTGCGGGGTGGATGCCTCCCGAGTCTGGACCGGCCCCGTCCCCTTCCCCGTGCCCCAGCGCTCAAGCCCAGGCAGCCTCTGTTTCTCGCATGGATGGTGGCGGCAGCCACTCCTCCTTACTTCCTCGTGTGTGTGCGTGTACACGCGTGCCAGACCCCGTGCTAAGCCTTTCATGTGCTCATCTCGTTGAATCCTCACAAATCACCCCACGGCAGGTCCTCGCCCTCCCCAGTGTACCAAGGAGAAGGCTAAGGGCTTAGACTCCTCGACAGAACAAGCGACAGATGCAAGCGTGTGCTCACCCAGGGTGTCCTGCTGCCTCCCGAGCTCCTCTGTCCAAAGGGCTTCCTGGCTTTGGGTGAAAGCCCAGAGCCACGATCAGGAGTAAGGAATGCCGTCCGCTTGGCTCAGGAACCCTGGCATCGCAGGCGGCAGGCCCAGGCTTGCTTGGGGAGATGTAGCTGGAGCCTGGAATTCAGTAATTCAACAAATATTTACCGAGTGGCCGTTCTGCAGAGCAGGTTCCCAAACTGTGGGACATGGACTGGTGCCCGTGGAGGGTGATGTGGCCACCAGTCTGCTTGGAAAAGAAAAAAAAGCATCATAGGGCAGTGAGGGGATTTTTTTGTTTTGTTTTTAATGTAAAGCTAGATTTACAGAACTTTTTTTTTTTTTAAGATTTTTTAATTTATACGTGAGAGACACAGAACGAGAGAGAGAGGCAGAATCCCAGACAGAGGGAGAAGCAGGCTCCGTGCAGGGAGCCCGACCTGGGCTGCCCTAATGATTTTTTTTTTAAGAGTTCTGTAAATCTGGGCAGCCCAGGTGGCTCAGCGGTTTAGCGCCACCTTCAGCCCAGGGCCTGATCCTGGAGACCCGGGATCAAGTCCTGCGTCGGGCTCCCTGCATGGAGCCGCTTGCTTCTCCCTTCGCCTCTTTCTGTCTCTTTCATGAATAAATAAAAATCTTATTGTGTGCTTCCTAATATTTTGGCATAAAATGTTCTTTTTAAAAACCACATTATGGGAGCTATAGATGGGAATTAATTGACCTTAATTGACTCTCCTTACTTTGCAGAATAATTAGCAAAGCCTATTCTGCTCCCAGGATTTGTTTTGATTGATTTAAGATTGTGGTTTTTCCAACGTCTGTGAAACGCTCTAGAATCTAATCGGAATCAGGCAGTGTGTGTGAGACGTGGCCCCTGCCCTCAAGGAGCACACAGTCTGGTGGGAGTGATGGATAAACGTAACTACCATGCGGTAAATTCGGTGACAATATCCTAATGACGATAACGGCAGCAGGTGTCAGCCACACCCTGTGCAACAGGTTCTGGGTGCGCAGCGTGTATAGATTAGCCCTGTGCTTTTTGATCAAGAATCTGAGGCTTGGGATCCCTGGGTGGTGCAGCGGTTTAGCGCCTGCCTTTGGCCCAGGGCATGATCCTGGGGACCCGGGATCAAATCCCACGTCGGGCTCCCAGTGCATGGAGCCTGCTTCTCCCTCTGGCTGTGTCTCTGCCTCTCTCTCTCATTCTGTGTGACTATCATAAATAAATAAAAATTAAAAAAAATAAAAATTCTAAAAAAAAAAAAAAGAATCTGAGGCTTAGCGACTTACTAGGACCTTCCAAAGTCTGAATTTTACTTCAGTGGGTTCATCCAGAGCTGTGTTCTCCCCACCCCTTAAAAAGCCTTCACACTCAAAGGACCTCAGTGGTATGAAATCTCACTCTGTCCCAACGAAGGTGCCTGGGACCGGCAGGCTTACCTACATCTCTCTGGTAACCGTGTGTTCAGCGCCTGCCCCCCTGGACAGGGCCTTGCGGGAAGCCGCAGCAGGACTGGCTCCGAGATGACTCTGTCGCCTGCAGGAGGTGGTGGTGGTGGTGGGGCCTCTGGGTCTGGCCTGCCTGAGCTCACATTACAGCTTGCCCCTCACCATCTGTGAGATCCTGGCAGGATCCAAACCCCAGACAGCCTGCAGATCTGCACTCCTACCTTTCTGCCTCTTCCCCACCAGATGACAAGATACCCCCGTATGGTAGCTCCTAGCCTTTTTTTTTTTTTTTTTTTTTTTGCTTTTCTGAGCATGACCCACAGTGCAAAATGCATTCTGTATTGTGACCTGGTGTGCACATATCACACACACAGATACCCACATGTGCTCCCCTTACCACAGGCTGTTACCCAGGCCGTGCACGCCAATATTTTTCAGTTCTACTGGGGGAAAAGCCCGTCTTTTTTTTTTTTTAATAAAGGTTATATCAATTTATGTTTTATTTAAAGATCTTATTTACTCATGAGAGAGAGAGAGAGAGAGGCAGAGACACAGGCAGAGGGAGAGGCAGGCTCCATGCAGGGAGCCCGATGTGGGATTCAATCCCGGGACTCCGGGATCGCATCCTGGGCTGAAGGCAGCACTAAACTGCTGAGCCACCCCAGGCTGCCCAAAAAAACCCATCTTAACAAAAGAGAACACACTGTACAAAAACAGGTCAAACTCCGCTAGGCTGTCAGAAATCCGGACCGTGGTCCCCGGCACCTTAGGCTTCCTAGGGAAGGCCTCCCAAGTTCTGCTTCTCCATCTGGGTGTCTTCAGGTCTAAATAGTCAAAGTACATTCTTTTCCCCACAGTCCACACACTTGCCCACCTTAGAGGGTCATACCCTCAACAAAAGGGGGAAAAGAAATTTCGGGGCCCCGGGAAAGGGTTGAGGATGACACCTTGAAATACCCCTATGACCTCGGGGATGTGCGGTAATGACAGGACAGGTGTGTCTAATGGGTGTTTGGTTGGTTTTGGTCCCACTCCCACCCCCATTCCCCCCCAGGAATGGCTTTGTCGAGGCCAGGGGTACACAGGGTGGGGGGCTGTTTCCTCCTCGGCCTCCCAACCCGCCCTGCGGCTGCTGTAACACCATGTGTATTTGCTTGTCCCCGGGCAGCCGATGCCCAGGCCCTACCGCCAGGTGAGTTTCCCCGACGACGACGAGGAGATCGTGCGCATCAACCCCCGGGAGCGCACCTGGCTGACGGGCTACGAGGACTACCGGCACGCGCCTGTGCGTGGCAAGGCCCCGGAGCCCGCGGACGACACCGACTCCTACGTGCGCTTTGCCAAGGGCGAGGTCCCCAAGCACGACTACAACTACCCCTACGTGGACTCGTCGGACTTCGGCCTGGGCGACGACCCCAAGGGGCGCGGGGTTGGCGTGATCAAGACCCAGCCGGCCCGGGGCAAGTCGCGACGGCGGAAGGAGGACGGTGAGCGCTCACGCTGTGAGTACTGCAGGGACATGTTTGTCCACGAGGAGAACCGGAGGGGCCGCTGTCAGGACGCGCCCGACGCTGTGAGAACTTGCATCCGCCGGGTGAGCTGCATGTGGTGCGCGGACAGCATGCTCTACCACTGCATGTCGGACCCCGAGGGCGACTACACAGACCCCTGCTCGTGCGACACCAGCGACGAGAAGTTCTGCCTCCGGTGGATGGCTCTTATTGCCTTGTCCTTCCTGGCCCCCTGTATGTGCTGTTACCTGCCCCTCCGGGCCTGCTACCACTGCGGAGTGATGTGCAGGTGCTGCGGGGGGAAGCACAAAGCGGCCGTGTGACTCAGTTGCCCTCCTCCCCCCCTTCCTCCCCGGTACCAGCCAGGGGAGCCCCACCTGGTGGACTCTGCACTTCCCCGGCCACCCCCACCCAGCCACCCACTGCATCGGCCACACACCCACCCACACACACGCAGTGTCCATGGAAAGGAGCCCCCGCGCACACACTCGTGTATTAGTGACAAGCCGTAATCACTCGGTCTCCGTGCGTTCACGTCACGTCTTTCGTCCCCACCTCTGCTGGTGCACAGGCGCCTGCAGTGGGGACTGCCGCTTTGGGGTGTGTGCTGGCGGCGGGCTTTCCCAGGTGCACTCTCCTGGTTCGGCCTGCAGCGAGCTCAGGAGCCCCGCTTCTGGCGCCTGCGTGAGGTCAGGTTGATGAAACCCCGCCAGGAGCCTTCTGACCTGCAGTCAGGCGATGGCCGGGAGGCGAGCTGGCTGACAGACTTCTGCCACAAACAAGATCGCTTTAACTTTTGTAAAGCCAAATTTCCCACGTAAGCTGCAGTTTCTGTCTGCAGCCCATCGTCATTTTCTGTGCCCTCCCCGCCCCCCCCAAAATCCGTTTGTTATTTTACTGATGCAACACATTCACCCATAAAAATGACTAAGAATTGAGCCTTAACTTCAGATTTAACTTGTGTGAATCAGGATAATTCCCTAAACCGCATTGCATCTGCATCCTCATGGACCAGGGCTAGAAAAGGAGGATTTCGGGCTTCTCTGAGCCTCCCCGGTACCCCCTAAGGTAGAACTTTTTAAAATTTTGTCTCCCCACCACTTCTGAAAACTTAGCAATATTAGAAGAAAACACTAACAAAGAAATTGTGCTCGTTGTTTTGCAAACGAAATAGTCTCACACACACACACACACACACACACACACACACACACACACGTGTTCTCCAAAGAGTTCCAGCTGAGAAACACTACGGTTGTGGTAAATAAAATTAAAGGAGCATCCTCCCACGGGCCCACTGGCGATTATCTGTAAAAAAAAAAAAAAAAAAAAACAAAAAAAACGGGGGGGCGGGGAGGGTAGGGGGTGGATTTTAAACGTCCTAAACCTGAAGAGTGGTGGGTTGCATTTTGTTCGTGGGTTTCCAATTTGTTTTCATTCGGGACTGAATTTCACGTCACCAAATTTTTCATTTATACTTGGGGGGCGGGGGGGGAAGGCCATATGTAAAACCCCTTCCAATGCCTAAGTGTCTTTATCCTGCATCTCCAATCCCAGACTGGCCAGTTCGGGCGCACAGATGGTTAGGTCAGCAGTCTGGGTCTGTCGCCTTGCCGTGCAGGAGGCTTCTCATTAGCTGGAAGAGAGTATTTTTCTAATATAGTGCGAGGAGTAGCCCAATCTCCTTGCTGCAGAAAAGAAGAAAAGCGAAGAGTGGTACGTAGCCTAGTACAATCAGAACGTCGCGGAGACCGTGGGGGCAGGCCCGGCCAGCCCGGCTGTGCTTCCGCCGTGACCTTCCCGTGCTAACGCTCTCCGCGGCTCCCTTCCCCCATCCCTTCTCTGGTGCACACGGGACCGCAGTCTTCAAGGAAAGGGACATTTTCCCAGTCCGCCAATCACACCGGGGACGTGCCAGCCATGCTTACCCTCGTGGAGTGTTGTCAGCTCCCCGAGCACCCGTCACATTTCTTCGGCCAGATCGTCGGTGTAAGTTCTCCGTGTGCTCACGAGTCAGTCGGTGGACGTTTCCTGTCGTCGGAGTGACCGGTTTGGGCCTTCCAGCTCGGCAGAGGAGCCGCGAGCCGTCGGTCTGGTGGTGGAGGAAACGAGAACGATTCCCAGCCTGGAGACCACGTCGAAAGCCCTCGGGCCCGGCCGCCAGACCCAGACCCGCGGAGAGACCGGCCCCCGCCCGGCCCCAGCCTGAGGCGCTTCCTCAGGGCATTTCTCAAGGTCTCTCCTCTACAAAGCACAACACTAATGTAGGTTTGTCAGACCTCAGCTCAAGTGCCCCTATTTATTTCACTAGGAACACACTTACCCTGTCGCGCGGTTGTTGTTTTGGGTTTTATTGGGTTTTTTTTGTTTTTTTTTTTGGAGTCCCCGTTGAGTTATCGGCCCCGTCCTTCCCCACCCCTCTGAAGAGTGACGCTAGTGCATCCTCCTCCGCCCGCACGTTTCGGTCTGTGAAGGCAGCAGGCAGTGAGCGGTTAAGGGCACAAGGACAGCCATGGGGACATCGATGTAAATACGTCTCTAATTGCCACACTGCAGCTGAACAGTGTGTAGTATTTTCCCCGTCAGCTTTGCCATACTGACGTCAATCATTTGAGAGAAATTATTCAGATTTTATTTTTGTATCTGTGGTAACAAAACATTAACCAAAAGATTTGTTTGGAAGCTTCCCCCCACCCCCACCCCCCCGCCCCCAGCTATTTGCTCACATTAACAAATTAAAGTGCCTGAAGCATAATTCATTCTTGACCTGTATACTAAAAACCCTGTTGTATTGATTTTTTTATAATAAGCCTTTTTACCTCTGTGTAAAAAATATATATACAAGTGTATGATGTACATTTTAGTTCTTAACTTTTTTTTATGGTTTCTAATATGTATGACCAACGTAGCCATCGCGTTAAGATGTACCATGTAAATACAGACACGTCCCATCAGCTCGCTGGCTCGGGTGTTTGTCCGGTGGGGGGCCCGGGCGGGGCGGGGCGGGGCGCGGGGCCGCTGGTCGGGCTTGGGGGGCCCTTCCCGGCTGCGGTTATGTCCTGTTCCCGAGGGGAGACCGAGGGGAGACCGCCGCTCCTCGGGCTCCATGCCTCAAGCGAAAGGAATGCTGCGCGTCGCCGCCCGGGAGGGAACACGCCGTCGCCCCAGGCCTGGCTCCCCCAGGCGCTCCGCAGAGGGAACAGCTGCGCTTCCTCCGAGCTGTTTTCTGCCAATTCCCGCTGAACCTCGGGTGGGGCTTTGGGAGTCTCTTTGGGCGTCTCAGAAGACGCGCTAGCACGGCAAGCCCCTTGGCCTCCCCGAGCGGGCCTGGCCCGGTGGCCTCGGGCCCGCCTGCCTCCCAGCCGGGCTCTGGACGACAGTCCCCGGGGAAGTAAAGCGTGGGCCTGTCACGGGCCACAGGCAGGCTCCGCTCCCCTCGGGAGCCGGGCGGGGCCTCAGAGACCTGCAGGCGGGCCCTGCCCTCCCTCTTGGTTTTAGCTCCTCCGGCCCCTGGCAAAGGCGCACAACCACGGGAGACGCTGGCTGGAAAGCAGGAGGCGGGGAGACCGGCCATGAGGAGGAGCAAGAGCTGAGAGACCCGGAGCCCGAGGCCGAGGCCGTGAAGAAGCGGGCGAACAAGCGGGCGAAGAGCCACGGGAGGACGCGAGGAGCTCCAGGTGGGCCGCGCTTCCCGCCCGGCCCCGCTCGCCCCCCTTGTGCGTCGCCAGGCAAGAGCCCTCCCTGCGCCCTTGGCCCCGCCAGGCGGCCTCAGGGTGAGCCCCCTCACCCCAAGTGGGGCCTGCTGGCCCGGCCCCGCCGTCAGTGCTTGGCCCTTAGCCCGTGGCCAAGGGACGTCACCTCTCGAGCTTTGGCTTTTTCAGGCTCTAGCAGACGGGACGCCGCCTGGCCTGGGCCCGTCGGGCGGGTGACAGGGGGCACCTGCAAAGGCTGGGCCCGGCCGCAGTTCTGGCGCTGGGGACCCGAGGACACCCCAGGGACCCGAGACCAGGCTCTTGAGGCACAAGACGCTGAGGCCACTGGGGCTGTCCTGGGAGTATTTAGACCTTCACCCCCTGCACTTCCGAACCGGCTCGGATCCTCGGGGGCCCTCGCACAGGTGTCCACGGCCCAGGCACCAGCGGTGGAGCTTGCCAGAAGGCCGGGGGCTCCGAGCAGTCCGTGGAGACGGCTAGGCCTGGCTCAGCGTGCTGGCCTGGGATTGGAGCCCGGGGTCTTGCGGAGCGCCGCTTTCTGAAACCCTGCGGCCCTCTTCGGTGGCCTTGACCCCTGTAAAAGTCCGTGCCCTCCTCGCCTGGACCTCTGCTCCTCCCTGCTCGTCACCACCCCACACCCCCAAACAGTGGGCACCCCTCAGAAAAGCAGGTACATCTTCCCAGGGGAAAAACTATTGGAAAATTCTGTCTTACGGGGACTCCTAGGGGGGTTTGTTATTCTAATGTGGCTTCGTCACCCCACGGGAATGACGGGCCAGAGCTTGTAGAAGGTGCCAGCTGCTTGCAGGCATTCTGACGGCAGGCTCCTTGGGCTCTCTGATCTGTGGGGGGAGATGGTCCGGAATCCCACACTCTGGGCCCGAGCCAGGTGTGTGGAATGAAGGGCGATGGTCCTGGTGACATCTTGCATGACCAGACCCCAGTTGTCACCTAGCAAATCACAGCCCACCAGTCTTCTCAGATAGAGGTCCCCTCAAAGCAAGGCTGCCCCCCAAAAGGCAGTGTTGGGGTGGGGGTGGAGCCAAGACCGAGCAAGGAGCAGGAGGTACGTTCCTTATTTACTGATGAAGAATAAAACCAGTTGTGTGATAGTCCTACCGTGGCCTCTTCTCCCCTCTTGTCTCTTCTCTCGTTTTCCAAAATTAAAACTTGAAGGAAGGGCATGCTCTGATTATAGAAGTGATGCACACAGTCGTTATAAAAATGGTCATATCCTGCGAAAACATGAAACCGGGAGCCTCCTTGCGTCAGGTTGCCGGGGCTGCCTCAACAGTACAGTCTGGGTAGCTTCATGGGAATTACGCGTAGTCTCAGTTACAGAGACTAGAAGTCCACAAACGCAAGATGTGAGGGAGGAGTCTGTTCCAGGCTTTTTACACAAGCTTATAAATGGCCATCTCCCTATGCCTGTTCATACTGTCTTCCCTGTGTCTGTGTCCAAATTCCCCCTTTTTATAAGGAAATGTCACACTGAATTAAAGGCCCATCCTAATGACCGAATTTTTTAAAATTTGATTACCTCTGTAAAGACTCAGTTCTCCAAATCAGATAAAATTCTGAAGTAGTAAAGGCAAAGAACTCCATTATTAATTTGGGGGAGACAACTCAACCCATAACACTCTCCTGGTCCCACCAAAAGTAAGCCTGTGTGTTTTTCTGGACTTTCCTATGCATTTATACACACGTTGAGTTTATGTTGTTTTTACTTAAAAATAGGTCCTTAACCACTCTTTCAATTCAAAAACTTAGTCCATTTCTATATTATTGTTAGGCACGTGCTCATTGCCATTTGTTGTTTTCTGGCTCTTGTGTAGCTACTCTGTTCCTTTCTTCCTTTGTGCTTTCCTGCTTTCTTTGTGATTTTATGATTTTCTGTAGCGATATACTTACATTCCTTTCTCTTTTTTGTGTCCACTATAGGTTTTTGCTTTGTGGTTACCATGAAACTGACATCTGGCAACTTACAACAGTCCATTTTAAGTTGATAACAACTTGAGTTTGAATATGTTCTAAAGCTCTACATTTTTACTCTCCCCCCACTTTGTTTTTAATACATTTTACATCTTTATATCTTTAATTATTTTTAAAATATTTATTTATTTATTTATGATAGATGGGGGGGGGAGCAGCATGCAGAGACACAGGAGGGAGAAGCAGGCTCCATGCCAGGAGCCCGACGTGGGACTCGATTCCGGGACTCCAGGATCGTGCCCTGGGCCAAAGGCAGGCACTAAACCGCTGAGCCACCCAGGGATCCCCTGCCTTTAATTATTATAGTCATTTTCACTCCTTTTTTTTAAAAAAAAAAAGAAAAAGATTTATTTATTTATTCATGAGAGACACAGAGAGAGAAGCAGAGACACAGGCAGAGGGAGAAGCAGGCTCCATGCAGGGAGCCCGACATGGGACTTGATCCTGGGTTTTCAGGATCATGCCCTGGACCGAAGGCAGGCACGAAACCGCTGAGCCGCCTCAGGGATCCCCTGTTTTTATCCTTTGTACTAGCTTTATAATTAATCCACAATCTTTATAATATTACACTATTCTAAGTTTTATCATATATTTACCTTTTTCAGTGAGATTTATATTTTCATATGTTCCTATTACTAATTAGCACTCTTTCCTTTCAACCTAAAGACATCCCTTTAAGGGCCCCTGCTGGCTCAGTTGGAAGAGCATGTGACTTGATCTCTTGGAATCATGGATTCGAGCCCCACATTGGGTGTAGAGATTACTAAAAATATTAACTTAAAAAAAAGAGACATCCTTTAACATTTCTGATAAGGCCTGTTGAGTGGTGATGAACTCTTTTAGCTATTGCTTATCTGGAAATGTCTTTATTTCTCCTTTGATTCTGAATAACAACCTTGCTGGGTAGAGAATTCTTGGTTGGAAGTTTTGTTTTGTTTTGTTTTTCCCCAGTACTTTGAATAAATACATCATGCCAATTCCTTCTGGCCAGCAAATTTGTGTTGAAATATCTGCCGATATTTTTATGACTGCTCCCTTGTATGTAACAAGTTATTTTTCTCTTGCTGCTTTAAAGATTCCTTATGTTTGGTACACCTGGGTGGCTCAGCGGTTTAGCGCTGCCTTTGGCCCAGGACGTGACCCTAGAGACCTGAGATCAAGTCCCACATCTGGCTCCCTGCATGGAGCCTGCTTCTCCCTCTGCCTGTGTCTCTGCCTCCCTCTCTCTGTGTCTCTCATGAATAAATAAAATCTTAAAAAAAGATTCCTTATCTTTAACTTTTGACATTTTAGTTATAATATGTCTCTACAGACCAATCTGTACGCTGCCTATAAGAGAATCACTTCAGATGTAAGGACACAAAGATGGAAAGTGAAAAGATAGAAAAAGATATTTTATGCTAAGGAAACCAAAGGAGGACTCTATACCTATACTTATGTCGAACAAAACGGACTTCAAATAGACTACAATAAAAGACAAAGAAGGGCATTACATAATGATGAAGGGGACAGTCTGACAAGAGGATATGACACTTATAAATATTTATGTACTCACCATAGAAGAGCCTAATAAATATAAAAGCAAATATCAACACACCTTAAGGAAAAAATAAGCAGCAACAGAATCATAGTATGGGGCATTAATAGCCCACTTTCACCAGTGGATAGCTCATCCAGGCAGAAAATCAATATGGATACAGTGGCCTCAAATGACACGTTATGCCAGATGGACCTAAAAAGTATATACTGAACATTCCATCCAAAGTAACAGAATACACATTATTTTCAAATACACAGAACACTCTCTAGGATAATCATGTTAGACCACAAAACCGGGCTTAATAAATTAAAGGTTAGTCTGGTCACATTCATGTTTTCTAAAAAAAAAAAAAAAAAAAAATCATGTTTTCTAATCACAAGGGTACAAAATGAAATCAATTACAGGGAGAAACTGGAAAATTCACAATATGTGGAGATTTAAAAACATACTACCAAACAGCCAGAATCAAAGAAAAAAAACTCAAAAATTAAAAATACCTTGAGAGAAATGACAGTGGAAACACAGCATACCCAAAACCTATAAATTGCTGCAAAAGCAGTTCTAAGAGGGAAGTTCACAGTGATAAATGCATACATTAACAAACAAGATCGATCTCAATTTTAAAACCCTACTTTATACCTTAATGTACTAGAAAAAGAATAAACTAAGCCCTAAGTTAGTAGAGGAAGGAAATAGCAAAGATCAGAGC